GTCTGGTAACCCTCCCGCTGACTTTGCCCCTTTGCTGAGGTAACCACTGTTTGTAAGTGTCAGACTTGGACAGGGTCTTGCCGAACTTGTAGCACAGAGTTTCCCGTCTGTCATGCAGAGTTTGTAAGTTCAGGGTTTTGCATGACTGGTCGTAGGGTAGGTTGTGGCCAAGAATGATTTTGGTTGCGCGTCTCTGGATCCTTTCGATCTTCCGTCCCTGCATTGTCGTGAGACCTGGGTGCCATACAGGAGCCCCATATTCTAATACAGGGCGAATAAAGCATGTGTATACTGTTACGAGATCATCTGCAGGCACGTTGAATTGTCGGAGACGGCATAACAGGTGAAGTCTTTGGCTCCCTTTCTTTGTTACCTCTGCAACGTGTGTCCCATCTCAGGTCTGACTGGAACGTAACGCCAAGACACTTTGCAGTTTTCACGACCTCGAGCAAGTGACCGTTGATGCTGAGAGGAGGTGGTGGGGAAGGGTTGCGGCAAAAGCAAACATGGACGGTCTTGCATTTACCTGGGTTGAGTTTCATGTTGTTCTTGTCAGACCATGTTGATAGTTCGTTGAGATCATTTTGTAGACGGGAAATTATGGGACCTGACAGACACAAAACAATTCTTAAAAGGGTTGAAATGAGGAAAAAAATTTCCAAAGGGCTTTATCTCCAAAGGAAGTTCACAATACCAGCTTTGCCTTTGTATTCCTGTGGTTTAGTAGCATACCAGGCAAATATCGCCAGGAAATACACGCTGGTATGGCGATAGTCAGTTATTTAGAACTCGTCAATTTAGGATTATAAATCCACTGAGATTGGATATATAATAGCTACACAGTCAGCTGTTACAGGCTTTCAACTCATGTCAGATGGTCTCACGGCCAAGCCTGTACAAGGCTATCAACCCCCTTTGAGTGTCCCGGCCATGGTCAGGCCTGTTCCAGGCTATCAATTCATTTTGAATGGCTACAAGACCATGTACAAATGTACCAAACCTGTACAAGGCTGTTATGGTTTGTAGTATGACTCAATCACGCAACCACCTGTGTTAGTGACTCGTTCCCAGGCTAGGTTTCGACATCAGGGGCTAAAATAGAGATTTACCGAATCCCGGTATAGTGGAATATTTCGCTAACAATCACCACTTGGCGACTTGCACACCCCTCTTCTTGCTCGTAAGTTTATATTGTTCCGATTCTTATAAATTTAATTTCCTTTTGGACAATATACGATATCTTGATCGTCCTACGACATAAGTACGAAGAAGTGCAGCACGCAATCATCCCCTATGTGAGACTCCTTTGAAACTCCTTTGTTTTTATGCTAAAAGAAAGACGTAGAGTAACATGTAAACAAACATGGCGGCCCGGTTGTAATTAATGTCAGTACGGCAGAATATCGGTCGTGTTCTGGAGTATATAGCGGGATTTGAAGACCACCAACCTTCCGTGCACCGAGTTAAGAGAGCAGACAAGCATATCAATATAAGGGACAACCATAAACCGGGATGAAAACGTATAAATCGCGCAGACGACGGGAGATTGGTGTCTGGTTCGGTCAACAAAATCTTATACATTTTGTATTGAGAATGCAGTAAACTGAAAGAAACGAATGAATGATTGAACTAGAATTCCGAGATCTCATACCTCCATGAAATATGATCTTGATATGTAAATGTAAATTTCTTCTTCAATTGTTCAAATGACCTCTGCATTAACATGATATATGCATCGTGATGTATGTTAACTTTTGATTAACTTACAGATGTCCCAAGTATGACATTCTCATCATTCACCATTACGAAGTCATAGAATTTTCACATAAATTATGCAAATTAGGTCATCATTTGCATAATTAGTATCTGTTGAAGTTCCGCCTGCCCTAGGTTACATAGTATAATGTAAAACACTGTAATTATAGAATTTCCTCATTAATTATGCAAATAAAGTCCTCATTTGCATAATCTACATTTAATTATGTACATCTCTCTCTCAGCTACCTACACACAAAAAATAATGAAAATATGTTGTTCCTGTCTGGACTTATTGGCTTTTAAACATTTCACCAGAAAGTGCCCTGCAGTTCCAGAACAAGCCGCTAGGGGGCCCAAACTCATATGACTTCTTTCCAAGCACGAGAGCTACCTTCCATCAAAATATCATGACCCTAGCATGTCCAGATCTCGAGATAATGTAAAACACTGTAATTATAGAATTTCCTCATTAATTATGCAAATAAAGTCCTCATTTGCATAATTTGCATTTAATTATGTACATCTCTCTCTCAGCTACCTACACACCAAAAATAATGAAAATATGTTGTTCCTGTCTGGACTTATTGGCTTTTAAACATTTCGCCAGGAAGTGCCCTGCAGTTCCAGAACAAGCCGCTAGGGGGCCCAAACTCATATGACTTCTTCCCAAGCACGAGAGCTACCTTCCATCAAAATATCATGACCCTAGCATGTCCAGATCTCGAGATAATGTAAAACACTGTAATTATAGAATTTCCTCATTAATTATGCAAATAAAGTCCTCATTTGCATAATTTGCATTTAATTATGTACATCTCTCTCTCAGCTACCTACACACCAAAAATAATGAAAATATGTTGTTCCTGTCTGGACTTATTGGCTTTTAAACATTTCGCCAGGAAGTGCCCTGCAGTTCCAGAACAAGCCGCTAGGGGGCCCAAACTCATATGACTTCTTCCCAAGCACGAGAGCTACCTTCCATCAAAATTTCATGACCCTAGCATGTCCAGATCGCGAGATATCAAAACCGGAAGTTGCGCTGCAGTACCAAGGGAAGCCACTAGGGGGACCAAAATCTCATCATTTCCAGTTTTTGTCACACCCTACCAACACACCAAGTATGAAACCAATCCATCCAGGCGTTCTTGAGTTATCTTGTTGACCAACAGACAGACAGAAGGACGGACGGATAAACGCAACTGAAAATATAACCTCCATGACACATTTCATGGAGGTAACAAACGAAAAAGTGTAACGTGTCCCTTGCCTATGCCTACGTTTTCAATCAAGGGAGTTCTGCACACGACTCGCACACAGTAGACTGTTGTTGCACTTCACAAATCGCCAGAGGTCGCTGCTGCACGGTACATTTGCTGGATAGTGTTAATACGTTTCACCGACGTCAGGGCG